TCCTTCCTTCCTTCCTTCCATCCATCCCCCAGTGCCTGAGGGGCCTGGGACAGCATCGTCCTCAGCCCCTGGCCTCTCCAAGCATGAGTCTCGTGCCATCCCTATTGGACGGTCCCAGTTCCAACTTCTCTTCCAAACCAGGCTCCAATGGGGCGGAGAAAGGGCTATTATTTCCTTGCTGAGGGTGCTGTCTTTGCTGAAAATTGTGTCTGCTGAAAGTTGTCTTATCTCCAACTGGCCCAGATGGACCTGCGACTATTGGTCTCTCTTATTTCGCTGCAAGTGATGAGAAATGGGGCAAGTTGCAGTTGTCCAGTCTGCCTCGATAGAGGTGGGCCATTTCCTCACTGCGGAGGCTTCATCTTGCAAAGGAATATTATTAGCTCATCTTTCTGATAACGGTTCGTGTTCCATCTCTGCAGCCCTGGGAGAGAAAAGCAACCCTCGCGTCTTTTTTTAATTTCCTTTTTGGTGGCACTGTTTGTGCCTTGTCTGGAGTGGGGGAGCCCAAATCCAGAGGTGGTTATCTGGGAGAACTTGAGAGACGGCGTTGAAACGGGGACAGGCTATATAACCGAAGGCAGAGTAATAAATGCCTTAATATATTTGGTAATAATAAAAAAAAAGTTTGGGGGTCTGACCCTTCATGTAAGTCTGCTTCAAATTCAATTGCAAAAACAGGCCTATCTGAAGGTCCAAAGAGACCAATTATTTTGCAGAATCAGGGCCAGATGGATCCAAACAAACTTTAGGAGAGTCCCAAGCTAGCAGGATGCCAAGCAGGGAGGCAAAAAATATGGGGCAAAACATACAATGTTGTGAATATTGGGAGCAATATTATCGGAAAGTGGCATGAAGTCTCACCGCAGCATTTGCCCCCCAAAGCTGGCAGTGCCCCAGTGTGAGACGAAGAGTTGAGGTCTGCAATGTAGAGGGTTGAGGGATGTCGTGCATGTGGCGGTGACATCGTCTTGATGCATCAATACCATCTTTTTGTACAAAGCTTGGAAGCTCCAGTGTTTGGGGGAAGCAGGGAAGCGAACTATAGGAGTCTATGAAGGGGAAGAGCAAGGGATGGCATGGACATGGCAATGACATCAAGTGATGCCACCACGAGGTCAATACAGTCTTTGTCCCCCAAAGTCCAGGAGAAGCAAAGAATTAAAACATAAGGGTCTGCAAAAGTAGGAGACAGGAATGGCGTGCGCACATCGTGTGGACAACATCTGATGCCATCAAAACATCAACAAGGTCTTTGTTCTCCAAACCTAGGAGGCCCCTGACCTTCAGGACAATCAGGGAAGGAAAATAAAAGGATCTACGAAAGAAACATCACACACAGTGTGGTGAAATCATCTGATGCCATCATGCCATCCATACCATCTCTTCCCCGCCCCCAAAGGAGGCCTCCAATATTCAGAAGATGCAGGCAAGCAAAGCATGGTTTCTTTCTTCGTTTCTCCTGAATGTTGCAGATCTGCCAGCTTTGGAGAAGAAAAAGATTGCGTTGATGTCTTGGTGGCCTCAGATGAGGTCAACACAATTTCAAGGCAACTCTTGGAAGTTGTGTGGGATCCTTATGATGCCAGATCATTGCCTTTGAGTATTAGATTCCTTCGTTTCCTAGTTCCATGCTGTAAATGTTGGTTTTAAAAAAAAAGATAGTATCCACAGCCTGCCATGTTCTAATAATGGCGTAAGAATATTGTTGGATTCATATTTAAGTCAGAGGACTTTCAACTATCCCCATTTTTGCCTCATGATCTTCTGTGGTGGTTCTTTCTGCTGACTGTTTTTCCCCCAGTGCATAAAAAGAATCGGGCAGAAGGTTTTAGATGGATTTAGTTGATATTAGAAATGTTGGGCATATGAGACAAATTGGCACTGTGGTTGGCTTCTGCTTTTGATCATCGGGCATTCACCGAAAATGAAAGAGAGCAGAGTCTAAATATTGTCTGTGAGTGCGTGTTCAAACAGTTCTTTGGAAAGGGTAGCTCAGTTGGACAGTGTGATGACCCAAAGGGGCGTGGCACAAAGGCAACACAGATAATCAGTAGTAGGAGTCCCTTTATTAGCTTCAACTTTGCCCCCAATGTCCTGATTACCTTCTGGCTGGAGAAAAACCCTCCCAGGAACAGCCTTTGGCTGCAGAGAATCAAGTCCAAAACGTGGTCAACAAAAACTGTAACTATAATTCCAATCAAGGCAAAATGAGGTAATTAGTCTGGCAGGGCAGGAGCAAGAATTCCAGACTTGAAGGAATGGCAGTAATTCAACCCAGTTGGGAGGATGCCAGGAATGCAGATAACCAAAGTCAACACAAGATAAACTCACGTTTGTTCCCAGCAGCTGCAACTCTCAGCTTGCATCTCTTTTAAACTCTCTTCCCAGGTGTGCCTAATGAAGGGAATCAGGGCCCTTTCCTTCCCTATTGCTCCCTTCTCCGTTCCTCCCTGCGTGCCCCAGGATGAAGAGGGGGTGGGCCTGGGTCTTCATCTGAACTCCCTCTCCCTTGTTCTACCTCTCCCTGCTCTGCCCAGCCGGATTTTGCCCTTCCCCAGTTTCCTCCACAGCCAACGGAGCCACACTCCCGCTCCCTGTCAGCTGCTCGTCTTCCTCCTCGGATTCAGACTCCGACAGGGGCATGACAGACAGCCGGGAGGAAGTCAACTCTGTTTTCTTGGTGGAGAAGAAGTTGGTTTTGATCCACCATTAGACATGCTCAGAAACACAGGGCTGTTTTTGACACCAGAGGTAATCTTCTACTTACAACAGTTTGTGTAGTGACCAGTTACAACAGCATGGAAGTTACAATAAGTTACAACAACTTTGAAAGTGATTTAGGACCGTTTTTTCACACTTATGATCGTTGCAGCATCCCCACAGTCACATGATCAAAATTCAGAGGCTTGGCATAAGTGCCTCATATTTATGACGGTCGCAGTAACCGGGAATCCTGGGATCTCCTTTGGAGACCTTATGACAAGCCAAGTCAAGTGAGAACCCAGATTCCCTTAACAACCGAGTTGCTGACAACTGCAATGACAACTGCAATGACTGACTTAACAACGGTGGCAAGAAAGGCCGTAAAATGGGATAAAACTCAACAAACATTTCACTTAGCAACAGAACTGAGTGACTTTGGGCTCAATTGTGGTTCTAAGTTGAGGACTATAATTATACGGACAGAATGCTCAAGTCCCTTTGAAGAGTCTGGCCAGGTTATCTTGGTTTGGCTTGAACCCCTTTGGGGGGCGGGGGGGGGATGAGCTACAATGACCAGGGTTGACCCTGGCACAAAGCCATAGAGGAGACAGGTTTAGAGGCCTGGCATTGTGAAGTCAGGTTTGTAAGGCCCTCAACTTCCTACGATCCGATACCTAACAGGTTCGCTAAGGATTGAGCGAGAAGAGTGAATCTTGTCGACAAATTGTTGATATTTAAAATAACCACCCTTCCCATTCTTGACAAGACTTTTAGTCATTGGCATTTAGAATTATGCCTGTCTTTGCTGGGAATCGTGGTCAATCTTGAAGGTTTTTATCCCTTTTCCACACCACACATACAGATACAAAAAAAATTTTTTTAATGGTCAATGGCATAATTTCAGGCCCAATCAATAACGAACCTGATTTTCTTCAGAACTGGCTGCAAATGAAAGGATCTAAGAGGGTTTGGGGGCCTCCCTCCCCCACCCCCCGGCACTCTAGGAAAATCACATTTTTTAGGAAAGCTGGGAAATCGAGAGAAAAAGTAGAAAGGCGCCTGATTCCTTTCGGGAAAGACGGGCATGCGCTTCCGAGCTTTTCGTTTCAGCACCTGGACAGCTCCCGGAGTCCAGACTCCCATCTCGCCAACGTCTTCCAAGCCAACTTGTTCTTCATCCGGTTGTCTCTTCCCTTGGTCCTTCCCTAAGGCGTCCGTGTCCCATCCTCCGTGGGTTTCCCCCCCTTTCCAGCGTCCCAACGCCCACCCCAGGGCTCCTTAAAGGCTCCAAGCTTAACACACAGGCAGGTGGGAGAAAGAAAAAAAAGGGATAGGGATGGGAGGGAAGGAAGGAAGGAAAGAAGGAAGGAAGGAGAGGCTGGCTCTCCAAAGACGCCCCCCACTCCGTTCGATCGCCGAGCCTTTGGAGAAGGGGCGGATCCTTCCTCTCCCTTCCCCGTTACTGATATGGGGCTTCGTTGGGTACCCTTGCGGAGTCGGGTGGAGCTGGCATCGCTGATTGGCTTCCCGGCTGTCAGCTGGCTGTGCTTTTTTTTTTTTTTTTTTTTTTTTTTTTTTTTTTGGAGGGGCGAGGTTCACTAACCGGTTGCTTTTGACGTTTCCATTTCGCTCTCTCCGAGGCTGACGGCGACCCCCGCCCAGCCGCCCAGCCGCCCCCGTCTCGGCCAGGAGAAAAACCCGGGGAATCGGAGGAGAAGAGCGTCTCTCGAAGCTCAGTGCCGGGAAAGAGGAGGAAGAGGAGGAGGAGACGGAGGAGGAGGAAGAAGAAGAAGAAGAGGGAGGAGAGAGAGGCCCAGGCAAGCTAAGTAGCTCCCAAACCCCTTCTGGATCTCCCCTCGCCAGGCTCTGCGGCTCGCCCCCCAGCTCCGGCGGGGGAGCCCCGGCTGCCTTCCGCGCGCCGCGCCATGCTGGGGTGGAGGAAAAGAGGCTCCCGGGTGGGAAGTTGATACGGATCGGATCGGCTTCCAGCCGCAGCTGGGATACCCCAGCCTCGCCTCCGCCTTGGGCTCTTGGCCGCCTCGCCGAGCCTCGCCCCTGAGCGGCGGCGGCGGCGGCGGCAGCGGCGCCTTGCCTCCTCCTCCCCGCCGCCGCTCCCCGAATCGAGCCGCAGCCCGCCCGCCTTCGCCACCCGCCCGAGCAGCCAACAGCAGCAGAGCCGCCCCGCCGCCAGCACTACCACCCGAAGCCCCGGCTTCCTCCCTCCCTCCTGGCGCTGGGATGCGTCTTTGCAGCTCGGAGGGCCAGCACCGCGCGCTTGGAGAAGGGGCACCAGCATGGCTCGCTTCGGAGAGGACCTGCCCAGCCGCTATGGATCTGGCGGCGCGGGGGCTCCCTCGGGGCCCGGCGGGGCCCGGGGCAGCAGCAGCCGGCAGGGCCCCCCCGGCCAACCGGGCCCGCGGCCCCCGATATACAAGCAGACCAAGGCCCAACGGGCCCGGACAATGGCTCTCTACAACCCCATTCCGGTCAAGCAGAGCTGCTTCACCGTCAACCGCTCCCTCTTCATCTTCAGCGAGGACAACGTGATCCGCAAATACGCCAAGCGCATCACCGAGTGGCCATATCCTTGGCGGGGGCGAGATGGGGGGGGGGGGCTCGGGCTTCTCCACACCCCTCTCCCCCCGCATCCCGGGGACCCTCCTCTACCCCACCCCGCGGGACGCGCGTGGAGGTGGAAAAAGGAGGGCCACCAGCGGACGGCTGGCTCTTTCCTGGGGCTGGGCAGGAGGGGCTCCAGCCTTGGAGAGGGGCGTGTCGGCAGGCTCGGCCCGAGGGGACCCTTCCCTTCCGTGGCCGGCCTTTCAGGACGCTTTGAGAGGGGTGGGGTTCCCTCCAAAGGAATGCTTTGGGGGAAGGGGAGCAGTAGAGATTTCGAGGGGCTTCAGGGGAAAGGGAGGCGAGGAGGTGCCTCCATCTCTTCTCCGGTCCTCTAGAAAAATGGCTGGTCAGCTCTTCTGCTTTGTTTTGCACGGAAATCAGTCCCCCCCCCCCCCCCCCCCCAGAGGGTGAGGGGTCTCCACTCCCAATTGGCCAGAAGTCCAGGTGGGTTTTGGAAATTGTTCTCCCAGATTCAAGCCTTACATGTGGCTGGGTGGGTATGGGTGCTCCTGTGAGCTCAGGCTTTGACAAGGTTGCCCAAATGCCTATAGAGTGGCCCTTTCCCCATTCCCACTTGCTGCCTTTTTGTTGATCCATTTGGGAGGAAGGGCGCTCCATCGACACCCTGCCGAGGTTTGTTCCTTAGCTCTTCCTAGCATGCCAGGTCAGGATGATCCAGATGATCAGCTGTCTGGCATTCAGAACAGCATAAGAGAGTTGGAAGGAACCTTAGAGGCCTTCTAGTCTGACCCCCTGCTCAAGCAGGAAACCCGATAACATTCCAGACCAATGGTTGTCTAATTTCTTCTTGGAAACCTCCATGGATGGAGCCCACAACTTCTGGAGGCAACTTCCGTTCCACTGTTTGATTGCTCCCACCGTCAGGAAATTCCTCCCTCGTTCTAGGTTGCTTCTCTCCTGGGTGAGTTTCCATCCATCGCTTCTTATCTGGCCCTTCTGGTGCTTTGGAAAATATTGTTTTTCCCTTCCTCCCTTGGAGTTAAGGAAGAAGCTGGTTTTTTTTTTAAATTTCTTCCTCCTCTGGTGTCAGTTCGACCTTTCCAGTTTGTTTAGAAAGAGAGGGAAAGGGTCTCCCCATGTTTCCCATTACTGTCTTGTTACTGACAAAATCTTAAGCATTTTTTTTTTTTTTTGCAAAAATCAGTTGCTACAATCTTACATTTGCCCGTGGTGAGCTGCAACGCGATTTGGGTTTGCTGCTGCTGCTGCTGCTGCTAATTGTTGCAATCTGAGCTTTGCAGCTTCCTAAACCTGAATTTGTGGCTTAATGCAAGGTGGGAACGCAACCACTAGCGCCTCAGCTGAAGAAACCTAAGGCTCAAACATCCACTTCATGCGGGAGGCCATCAATTAGGGTTTGTACGCTGCGGTTTGTTTGTTGGTAGGATTCACACTTTCTGTCCATTGTGATCAACAGTTTGAACAGATCACAATTCAGCCTAATAATTAAATCCAGACTTAATTAGGGGGGGGGGGAGAAGAAATGGGGGGGGGGGGTGGAAAGATGATCTCTTTAAATTGGCTGCATCCTAACCATAAAATATATGCCCGCGTGAAATTGGATGCACGGGAACATCCCATTTATAGCCAATTCAGAGGCTGGCTGATATTTTTGACCTGTGAGGATTATTATCCATGGCAGTCTATATTACCCAGAGCATAATAATGCAAAATATCTCAGAAGTCTCCTTTCCTGTTTACAAAAAAAGAGGCTTCTTTCTACCTCTTTCTACCTGCTTGAGAATTTCTGGTCCAGTTTCTCCGGCCGGCATTTTGATCGGATCTTATTGTTAAAAGAAACGGGGGGTGTCCTGGGGATGGTGGCGTTTTCGGTTGTGGTTTTCATCCCTGGCAGCCTCCCTGGCTCCACCCTTCCACCCGATCAAAATACAGGCTGCCCTTGACTTATGACCACCATGGAACCCAACCTTTCCATCGTTAAGCGAGACGGTTGCTAAGTGAGCTTTTTGCCCCGTTTTAAGACCTCGCTTGCCCCCGGCGCTGAAGGAAGCGCTGCTATTGTTAAGTTAGGACCCTGGCTGTGAAGGGACTCCGGCTTTCCCTGCGGACTTTGCCTGCCGGACGGTCACAAAAGGGAAATTGCGTGGCTTCCAGGACGCTGTGACCGTCATAAACATGAACCAATTGCCAAGCCTTGTAAGCCGAGGGCTGCCTGTGCAGCTTTAAGACAGGTCTTTCTTCTTCCCTTAAGCCTTTGGGGTTGAATGGAAGCCAGGGAGTCTCCAGGTGGCCCAAGAGAGGTTTGTTTCTCCCCTCCCTTTTTATCTTGCCTACTTTTACTAACTTGAGGAATCTCCCTTCTTTATTTCTAAATCTTTAAATTTAAATCTTTAAATCTAAATGAAGGACGGGCAGCCAGAGAATCTCCTGGATTCCTCAATGAAAAGCAACCTCTTTCATTCTTGTCTTCTTGTCTCACCAGATAAATACCAGGCTGGTCTCTTGATGCTGCCCTTAAGCCTTTCCCAGAGGTCATCCCTCCTTTTGACCCCCATTTTAAATCCAGATGCTCTTTTGCTGGCTGCAAAGAGACATTTCCTGCGCTTATCTTTCTGTCTGGATTTTGGGCAGCGGAAAGAGCTGAAATGGTTATTTCGTGTCTCTCTTAGCTGGCCAGTTTTTGAAGACTGTCCACTCCTTTACCAAGGAGGACAGAGGTGGTCTTCTTGAAGGCAAAATTGCAATCCGGTTTGGTTACCATACAGCAAAAAAGACACTGAGGAGTTTGGGAAAAAATGTGCAGAGAAGAGCAACTAAGATGATCAAAGGCCTTGAAGACTAAACCATATGAAGAACGGCTGCAGGATTTGGGTTTGGCTAGTCTAAAGAAAAGAAGAATTAGGGGTGACATGATAGGAGTCTTCCAGTATTTGAGAGGCTTCCATAAAGAAGAAGGGGTCAAATTATTCTTCAAAGCCCCGGAGGGCAGGACAAGAAACAATGGATGGAAACTAATCTAGGAGAGAAGCAACCTGGAATTAAGGAGGAATTTCCTGACAGTGAGGACAATTAACCAGTGGAACAGCTTGCCACCAGAGTTGTGGGTGCTCCATCACTGGAGGTTTTTAAGAACAGACTGGACAGTCACTTATCTGAAATGGTCTAGTTTCTCCTGCTTGAGCAGGGGGCTGGACTAGAAGACCTCCAAGGTCCCTTCCAGCTTTATTCTATTCTATTCTAATTCTAATTCTTATTGTAAAAGGAACTTCCAAGATTGGGGTTAGGTTGCTAAGGAGCCTCTTCTCTCTGTACATCGTTTGATCTGCACGTGTAGCACGAAGCAATTCCCCAGGAGGGGCCTGTTGTTTTCCTTTGATCTGAAATCACAGAGATAATAATTCTCTCACCCAACGAGCAACAGGCTTTCCTCTTAACAACCCAGTGTGTTTGTAGGTTGCATCCTCCTTTCTTATGCAGCTGAAACACTGGGGATATAAGTGAGCTGGAGAAAGCATAGCTAAGCCAGCTGGAATTCACAACAGCTAAGAGGATGGTCAAAGGAGAAAAAATAGTAGGGACATGTCTACGGAGATTCTCAGTCATCCCAAAGTGCTTTTTTCAAGGGGCAACTGGACTTTCGGAAGAAACTTCTCAGATAAGAAGCGAAATGTCTTCAAAGGAAAACCAGAAAGTCCAGTTGCCTCTTTGAAAAAGAACTTTTGGGACAATAGTAGAAGACAGGTTCCAAAATTGCTTCAACCAATTTTGAAGTAGGATGCATTAAGATCTCGCAGCAACTAGCCCAGTCCTGCCTCTCCTCTTTTTAGAGTGGGGAAAGCGAAAACTGGTTGGATAATCCAGACAATATCAAATCGATAGAGTAGAAGTTGGAGTTAGTTAGAGAGCGAGGAGATACATTCTCCTTGGTTGTCTTCTGCTCTCTGCTCCTCTGCTTAACGTCACGTGAGGTTCCAAGTTGGACAAGAAGATCCAATGGACAAGAAAGCCATGGCTTTCCCTTTTACAAAATTGGTCTTCTCTTCAAATTGGATCAGAAATGGATGACTTTTTTTCTCCAAGCTTCACAGGTTTAGTTTTGTGTTGTGTTTTTGGCACGGAGGCCTTTGCGTAGAGAGTTTAATTCCCTGGGAATTTCTTCTCAGAATCCATAGCACAAACTTAAGCATGTGAGAAATGAACATGGGGATCGTGGTTTGTAAGTCACAATCATTACTAGATGTTGTCGTTGTGATCATATTTGTGTGTGGTGGGTGAATCCAGCCACTTCTGGCTTATTTCCAAAACTGAGGGGGAAGTTGTTAAACAAATCAAGATTTAAAATGAGCTCAAAGATTCGTTAACTTGTTATTGAGTTTAGCTACCACCTAACTTTCATAAAGATTGTTGGATGGTTTGATACCTTTCTACAGCTTGTAAACTCTGAAGAATTTACTTTAATTGCTCGTATTCTCCATCAATTATCAGCTTGCAAAAATTATCTCTGAGAACATAGTCGGTGCAAATTTAGAGGTTTTAGAATTTTGCAGATGGAGGCAAGTTGGAGAAAGAGAGCAGGCCATGTTAAGTAAAATCCCACCTTTATTTAACAATATAACAGCTGCAGGAGAAACTTTGGATTGCTCCTTTTAATGGCTTAATCAGCCAAGAGATCCTGAACAATCAACAGCAGAATGCCTTTCGGTTCTCTTCTGGGCTTTCCCCCTCTTCTTCTTCCCTCTCCTCCAAAGCAAAGAAAACCTCCTGCTTGATTAGACGAGAACTTTACTTGGAGTAATCAACTAGAGGCTAACTACAACCTTTTATACGTACTCGGGCTTAGAATGGATTTGAGAAATCGGGACCACTGATTGAGATTCAGTATCGGAAAAGTTAATGCAATTGCTGCTGATGCCTTTATTTAATAATGTCTTTATGAGTTTTTCCTTAACCGTTGTCTTCACTCCATTTGAATATATGATTTTGGCTACGATTATAGCCAATTGCATCGTTTTGGCTTTGGAGCAACATCTCCCTGATGGAGATAAGACACCGATGTCAGAGAGGCTGGTAAGTATCTAATATTCTGGTGAGAGAAAGAAATGTTTTTTTCCTTCCTTCCTTCCTTCCTTCCTTCCTTCCTTCCTTCCTTCCTTCCTGAACAAAAAGCAAACAGTGCAGGCACCCTTGGCCACAGTAGCAATTGACAAAGAACAAGACAATCTGAGAATGAACTGAGAGTTCAATCCACTGAGAGCTTATGCTCTTCTATTCTATTCCATTCCATTCTGAGCTGTGATGGCACAGTGGTTAGAATGCAGTATTGCAGGCTAATTTTGATGACTGCCAGGGGTTCAGTACTCATTGGCACAAGGTTGACTCAACTTTCCATCCTTCCGAGGTCGGTAAAATAAGGACCCAAATTGTTGGGGGCCAGAGGCTGTCTCTGTAAACGGCTCAGAGTGGGGTTTAGAAAGTACTGTGGTCTAAGTGCTATTCTCTCTTCTCTTCTCTTCTCTTCTCTTCTCTTCTCTTCTCTTCTCTTCTCTTCTCTTCTCTTCTCTTTCCTTCCTTCTATTCTATTCTATTCTATTCTATTCTATTCTATTCTATTCTATTCTATTCTATTCTATTCTATTCCATTCCATTCCATTCCATTCCATTCCATTCCATTCCATTCCATTCCACCCCTTTTCCTGCCAATCTACAGACTGGTAACACCGGTGTCCTATCCTTTCTCCTTCCCAGGATGACACCGAACCGTATTTCATTGGAATATTCTGCTTCGAAGCGGGCATAAAGATTATTGCGCTGGGTTTTGTTTTTCACAAAGGATCTTATCTCCGCAACGGATGGAACGTGATGGATTTTGTGGTTGTGCTTACGGGGTAAGTCTCTTTTTTTCTCTCTCTCTCCCTCCCTTCCTCCACCTACCCCTCTCTCTTTCACTGCTCTCTCTCTCTCTCATTCCTGAATTTGAATTTAGCAAGCGCTCCCTTGCTCTGGCATTTATGGGCCTCAAAAGAAGGACGGGAAGGGATTAGATGGTTACAGCAAAGCTACAAGCTCTGTTTAGACAGCTCCGCTTTACGATTGTCACAGAGAATGTCGAAAGAAATGCTTTGGCATTTGTTGATGGGGTGGGCACTAAGGGTGAGTTGGTGTGGCTTCCTCAAGAGAAAAAAAGATGGTTATTTTTTTAATTATTTTTTAACACACCCTTGAACACGACATGATGGCTTTGTACGAGGAAATCGTAATGAGCAGGGGGAAACCCTAGCTTTCATTAAAATAGAATAACAAAGTTGGAAGGGACCTTGGAGGTCTTCTAGTCCAACCCGCTGCCTAGGGAGGAAACCTTACACCACTTCAGACAAATGGTTATCCAACATCTTCTTAAAAACTTCCAGTGTCGGAGCATTTACAACCTCTGGAGTCAAGTTGTTCCACTGATGAATTGTTCTCACAGTCTGGAAATTCCTCTTTAGTTCTAAGTTGCTTCTCTCCTTGATCAGTTTCCACCCGTTGCTTCTTGTCCTGCCCCCAGGGGCTTTGGGAAATAGCTCTCTTCTTTGGGGCAGCCCCTCAAATATTGGGAGACTGCTATCATGTCACCCCTAGTCCTTTTTTTTCATTAAACTAGACATGTTTGATGAAAATTCAGCAACCGTTCTTCATAGGTTTTAGCCTCCGGTCCCCTAATCATCTTTGTTGCTCTTCTCTGCACTCTTTTCTAGAGTCTCAGCATCTTTTTTACATCCTGGCGACCAAAACTGGACGCAATATTCCAAGTGTGGCCTCCCCAAGGCCTTATAAAGGGGCACGAACACTTCACGTGATCTTGACTCTGTCCCTCGGATGATGCAGCCTAGAACTGCGTTGGCTTTTCTTGGCAGCCGCTGCACACGGCTGGCTCATGTGTCAATGGCTGTCCATTAAAACGAGGGCTTTTATTTTTCCATGGCGAAAATCAACTTGGTGTTGGTGTGTCAAATGAGCAGAGGATCTGAAGGATGAGGAGAAAACAGGGATGAGGTTGGTTTTGGGAAATTCGGGCAATCCTCGACTTACAACAGTTCACTTAATGACCATTCCAAGTCTCCACAGCACCGGATAATGTGACTTATGGCCCCCTTTTTCACACTTACGACCGTTGCGGCATTCCCCCAAGATCACACCTGGCATTTGGTTCCTATTCATGACGGTCTCAGCATCCCCGGGGGTGGGGGTGGGGTCACAACCTTCTGACAAGCCAAACGGGGAAGCCCGGTTCACTTCAACCACCGGATTGTCCAACTGAGCAAATAACGGATTCTCACAGGGGCTTTTTCGGGGCTTTCTGGTTTTTCTTTTGAAGACGTTTCTTCAGCTTCTTCAGCTCTGACTGGATGGTGGGGAATGGGAGGAATTATACTCCTTGCAGACAGCTGCTCATTTGCATCCTTTGCGAGGGCCGTTGAGGCCACTTGGAGGTTTATCTGTGTCCTCTAAAGGATGCAAACGACCAGCTGTCTGCAAGGAATATAAATCCTTCCATTCCCCACCATCCTGTCAGAACTGAAGAAGCTTCTTGGATGAGCAGTGAAACATCTTCAAAAGAAAGAACAACAAAGTCCAGTTGCCTCTTGAAAAAGCCCCTTTGGGACGACCGTGACTGGATGACTGAGAATCTCTTACAGACTTTGCACAAACAGCGGTGACTCACTCAACAACCGCAACAAGAAATGGAGACAAAAACTCAGTTTAAAAAAAGTCTCGCTTAACAACAGAAATGTTTGGCTTAAGTTTTACTACAGTTGTAAGTCGAGGACTGCCGGTATTAAGGTTGGAAGTCAGAAGGGCTGGATTCTCACAGGGGTCTTGCCGATTTATGGAAGGCGGTGGGGCGGGGAGGTTAAGCTACAGAATCTTAGAAACGGGATGGGTGTGTATGTGTGTGTGTTTAGCATCAACTGATCAGTAAGTTTGTGGCAGAGAAACTCTTTGATCTGCTGGCTGTTTCCCTCTTCAGCCTGTGACAGGTTCGCAGGCTGGTGCATGTGAACCTGTCACACTTGGCAATATTACCACAGAGACCGTTGTGCATTGCAACGCAGGGAACTCCTCGATGTTCGACCACAACGGAGCCCCAATTTTCTGCTGTTAAGTGGCACATTTATTGAGCAAGTTTGTTAAGCCCCAAGTTCCGACTTTGTTAAGGGAATCATTGCAGTTGTTAAATTAGTAACTTGCTCCTTAAGTGAATCTGACTCTCCCCCCCCCCCCCCCCATTGAGTTTGCTGGTCGGAAAGTTACACAACTAAGTAACATCACCAAACTCTCTGGCCTTGGTTGTTTTCTTGTACACATTTCATTAGCCAATGAGGTAACATCATCAGTGCCAGAAGGGCGTGGCATTTGCATTTCTAGCACTGATGATGTTACCTCATTGGGCAATGAGACATCTGCCAGAAAACCACCAAGCTCAGAGAGCACCAAGGAACCTTCATGTCAGCCCTGAGCTACAAATACTATCTGTCTGTCTGTCTGTCTGTCTGACTATCTATCTTTGTTTCTACTATCTTTGCTCTATCGCTATTTGCTTCTACTTGCAAATTCTCCAAGCAGAACACAGAATCAATAAACTGTTGCCATTCAGATTTTCAGGAAATGGAGAAACGAATTATTTTTCTCAGATCCTGGGGAGCAATCTGTAGAGCTTTTGTGACTGATTGACTTTCTCTTTCTTTTGAATTTGTTTAAACCCAGTTAAACGGTTGATGGATTGAAGCTGTATCTCAGATGTATTGGGGCAGCAGATTGCTAATGGCGAAATCAGATTATTATATATATTTTTAAATAAGATTTATAAAAAGGGAAGGTTGCAGGCTAGGCTTTAGCAGAGACCCACAGAGGGAATTTATTGATGCACATCTTTTGACCAAAGCAAAAGGCTTAATACTTTTCATCGTTCATAACGGTGGATTTTAAAATATCTGATTTATTTATTTTTTAAATCCGATTGTCTTAATTAAAAAAAAAAACCATCGATTTTTATCCACCCTGCATCTGATAAAGGAATAAATGAAATATATCTGGATGCTTGAAACACTGTCACTCATCCAACCAGGTCAATGTTCCCCATGGAAAATGTATGGTACCTTCTTCCGGTTTCCTTCCATAAATACCAAGTCGAAGTTGAACCGCGCTTGCAGGATCACAGACCGGGATGGGATGTTAATAATAGAACCGGTGGGTGACGTGGGCTATTTGAATGTTGTTTTCTACCCTTGCCTGGGCAACCTTAAAAGTGTTTTGATCAAAGGTAGAATTGCATCGAGCTTGATTAAGTGGCTGGTATAAGAAATCCAGGCTCTGCACTGCTGATGATACAAGTATAATTCCTTTGAAGTCCAAGTCAGTTAATGCCAGGACGTTGGCCTCTCCTGGCGCCTCTAGCTGAGTTGCATTGAAATTGTCTTGTATACGAGGTTCCCGCTAAGGAACCAGTGGGAGCAAAACTGCTTCCCTCTTTTATCTACTTTTATTTATTTTGTTGGTGGCTGCTGTGACATTTCTTGACAATGAACCTCCACGGGGGAGAGGTTGTCTTGTCAGCGTTGCACTGCTTCCTTTTCAGCTTCTGTTCAGATGGAAAGCATAGGGAAACGTCTCCTGTTCTTCCTCTCCTTCCGTCATGGATGGGTGGGAGATCTGGATGCAGATGGCTTCATTCCAACTTGGGTTGAACCATGCTGAGTTTATAAGAGGTGTGTGTGGTGTCTGAATGGTTTAAGATGCTGGGATTGTTGACCGGAAGGTCAGCAGTTTGAGACCCAAGCACCACATTGACAGGGTGAGCGCCTGTTCCTACCTCAGCTCTTGCCAATCTAGCATGCAAATGCGTGTAGATAAATAGGTACCACCTTGAAGGATTTTTGGTGTGCTCTGAGCTTGGTTGTTTTCTTGCAGATGTTCATTACTCAAACTAGCCATTGTCACCAGTGCCAGAAGGGAGACAGAGCAAAATCCACTATCTTGTAGCACTGATGATGTTCCCTAGCTGGGTAATGAAACGTCTGCAAGAAAACAAGCAAGTTCAGAGAGTACAAAGGACCCTATAATTCTCCTCCCCTCTCCCTTCTAGCACTGATGATGTTACCTAGTTTTGATAACGAAACATCTGCAAGAAAACAAGCAAGCTCAGAGGGTATCAAGGACCCCATCGTCCTCTTCCTCCTCCAATCCCTCTCCCTTCCAGTGGTGATGGGGTTCCCTAGTTTGAGTCATGAAACACCTGCAAGAAAACCACGCAGCTCAGAGAGCACCAAGGACCCCTCCTTTCAACCCTGAACTACAAATATTCTCCTTTGTAGATACCACCTTGGTGGGAAGGTAACAACATTCTGTGCTCCTCAGCATATAATCCTGCCAACCACAAGACCGCAGAGAAAAGCTTCAGCAATGATTTGCCTTAGGGCCTAGGTGGCATGAGGACTCCTTCTTTGGACAAGCGGTTGGGCTAGAAGACCTTCAAGATCCCTTTCAAACCTATGATTTTATGTTCTCATCATAATTTAGGTTTGGTGGACATCTAAGGCCTAAGGCAGTAACCTTGCAAAGCTAGTGACATGAAGCCAGGTCTTGGGGGGAGGCAGAGGGAACCCCAACGAACTCCTAGCCAACTCTTTTCCATTCCCTTCGCTACCTCCATCTCTTACTCTCCAGTAAAACTGGAAAGATCCAAGAAATCCCCGCTTAGCGGTCTAGTGGTGTCAGTTTTCAGACTTTATTTATTTATTTATTTATATTTTATTTTATTTGTCAATCGCTTACAAGATAATGGGTATAAGTATAAACATGAGTAAGAATACAGGAAATAGGTACAAATCAATGGGGACAATAGGAC